GTGTGTGTGTGTGTGTGTGTGTGTGTGTGTGTGTGTGTGTGTGTGTGTGTGTGTGTGTGTGTGTGTGTGTAAAAGGTTAATCTTTGGAGTATTTTAAAATCAGACATTCTGAATAAACTGATTTTGACATGTCACACTTTTAGGTTCAAATTTGCTTGGTTTTGTAAAGAGCACAACACTGAAATTTGTTTCTCTCTTTTTTAAAATGAAATTTAAAGTGAATTTTATATAAAATGTGTTTCTTTTCTTTCTCCGTCAGAGTGCAGACATGTCTGCTGTGAGCAATCTACGATCTGAAGATCAGTTTCTGTGCTGCATCTGTCTGGATGTGTTCACTGATCCAGTCAGTATACCATGTGGACACAACTTCTGCAAAAACTGCATCACTCAGCACTGGGACATGAATGCCATGTGTCAGTGTCCTATGTGTAAAGAGACTTTCTACACTAGACCTCAGCTGAGGATCAACACTTTGCTCTCTGAGGTGGTCGCTCAGTTCAGACGTGAAGTTCAACAGAAGGCCAGCAGCAGTAGCTCAGAGCAACAAGCTGCCAAACCAGGAGAAGTTCCCTGTGACATCTGCACTGGAACCAGACTGAAGGCCCTGAAGTCCTGCCTGGTGTGTCAGGCGTCCTACTGTCAGACTCACCTGGAGCCTCATCTGACAAAGAAAGGTCTGAAAAGACATCAGCTGATTGATGCTGTGGAGAACCTGGAGGGCAGAATGTGTAAGAAGCATGATAAACCTCTGGAGCTGTTCTGTAAGACCGACCACACATGTGTCTGCATGCTCTGTTCTGTTTTAGACCACAAGAACCACGAGTTTGTTCCTCTGAAGGACGAATATGAAGGAAAGAAGGCAGAGCTAGAGAAGACAGAGGCTGAAATTCAGCAGATGATCCAGAAGAGACGACTGAAGATTCAGCAGATCAAAGAGTCAGTGAAGATGAGTAAAGGTGATGCAGACAGACAGAAAGCAGAAGGTGTTCAGGTCTTCACTGCTCTAAAGAAGTCTGTCGATAGAGGCCTGAAGGAGCTCATAAAGGAGATTGAAGACAAACAGGAAACAACAGAGAAACGCGCTGATGGTCTGATCAAAGATCTGGAACAGGAAATCTCTGAGCTGAAGAAGAGAAGATCTGAGGTGGAGCAGCTGTCACGCTCTGAAGACCACCTCCACATACTCCAAAGCTTCTCGTCCATGAAAGCTGCTCCACCCACCAAGGACTGGAGAGGAGTGAGCGTCCGTCCACCATCATACGAGGGGACTGTGGTGAGAGCTGTGGCTCAGCTGGAGGAGACGCTCAGGAAACTTATGAAGAAGAAGCTGTTTGAGGCTGAGCTGAAGAGGGTCCAGCAGTATGCAGTGGACGTGACTCTGGATCCGGATACAGAAAATTCTAAACTCATCCTGTCTGATGATGAAAAACAAGTGCACTGTGGTGATGTGAAGAAGAAACTTCCTGACAACCCAGAGAGATTTTCTTCCTGTGTTAATGTTTTAGGAAAGCAGAGTTTCTCTTCAGGCAGATTTTACTTTGAGGTTCAGGTTAAAGGAAAAACTGACTGGGATTTAGGAGTGGCCAGAGAGTCGATCAACAGGAAGGGAAAAATCGAACTGACTCCTCAGGATGGTTTCTGGACTGTGTGGCTAAGAAATGGAAATGAATACAAAGCTCTTGCTGGTCCTCCAGTCCCCCTCTGTCTTCAGTCTGGTCCTGAGATGGTAGGGGTGTTTGTGGATTATGAGGAGGGTCTGGTCTCCTTTTATGATGTAGGTGCTGCAGGTCTTATCCACTCCTTTACTGGCTGCTCCTTCATTCACAAACTCCACCCATTCTTCTGTCCCTGTAAGAATGATGGTGGTAAAAACTCTGCACCTCTGATCATCTGTCCTGTCAATCAAACTGAGTCGATCAACGACTGATTTTATTTGATGAACTGATTGATTTTTATTGAAGGGAACAAATAAGCATATCCAATGTAAATATTCTACAGTCTCCATGTTTTCTATAGTATCTGTTTATTGGGGACTCCAATTCACACTTAGATTTGATTTTCATTGAATTTGATGTAAACAGAAGAAACGTTAAATCAGCAAATGCTCCCACTAATGGAGACTTGAAATGAAGACCAAATATCAGTGAAAAAATGTCAAAAAGCTTCATTTCAAAATAAAGTTTGTTAAATGCTGGTTGATTAATGGATGATTGTGAAGAGAAAGTTGTTTAGAAGATAAAGAAACTCACAACTAAGATATCTATTTTTTTACATGCGCATGGGCGGCCCCGATCTAATCTGCTCTACACCAGAGTGTGCACAGCAGACGTGACACAGAAAAACCGCCCAGGGCATTCAGAACATCCTTTTATTTATACTTGAGCCTTCAAGGAAGTAGGAGTGACATGTTCAAAATACAAAAACATTTCCATAAAAGGAGAAAGAGACCGTTAGCTTGCCTGTTAACAAAGGAGGTACTATGTATGTCACAGCATTCCTCTGCACATCTGTTTTTGCTCCCTTTTCCTGTGGTATTTTCAATTCACAAGCTCTTCTTCCTTTATATGAAGCTACAACTAAACACAATTCACAAACTTAAAAATCTTTCAACATTCCCTCCTGTTTGTAGCTGAAATTAAAGAGATATATCAATGTGTTTCAGACACAGACCCTACATTGTGAGTGCTTTCGGTCTGGTCGTCATAAAATGTATATCATTCAAACATAATCATTCATCACATTAGTTTCATACTCATCGTCTTCTCCTTCTTCCTTGTCTGGCACAGTGATATATGCAACGAGAGGTTGAGATATCATCCTTGATACCATTCCTCTTACACAGGGGATAATGCATGTAGTAAAGATACAAAACATGATAAGTATTAGGCCAAAAAACATCAAAACCTTAAACATCAATGTTCTCCATGAGCCGCTCATAAACCAATCCCACCAATTACTTTGTGAATTTGCCCAATCGGTTACCTGTGCCTGTTGAACATTTCTAAGTAATTGTAGAGCATTTGTCATATTATCAGAATGCACATTGTCTGCAATATACAGTGGGGCAAAAAAGTATTTAGTCAGCCACCGATTGTGCAAGTTCCCCCACTTAAAATGATGACAGAGGTCAGTAATTTGCACCAGAGGTAGACCTGCACCAGACTGGGAAGAGTGAATCTACAATAGACAAGCAGCTTGGTGTGAAAAAATCAACTGTGGGAGCAATCATCGGAAATTGGAAGACATACAAGACCACTGATAATCTCCCTCGATCTGGGGCTCCACGCAAGATCTCATCCCGTGGGGTCAAAATGATCATGAGAACGGTGAGCAAAGATCCCAGAACCACACGGGGGGACCTGGTGAATGACCTGCAGAGAGCTGGGACCAAAGTAACAAAGGTCACCATCAGTAACACACTACAACGGCAGGGAATCAAATCCCGCAGTGCCAGACGTGTTCCGCTGCTGAAGCCAGTGCATGTCCAGGCCCGTCTGAAGTTTGCCAGAGAGCACATGGATGATACAGCAGAGGATTGGGAGAATGTCATGTGGTCAGATGAAACCAAAGTAGAACTTTTTGGTATAGACTCAACTCGTCGTGTTTGGAGGAAGAAGAATACTGAGTTGCATCCCAAGAACACCATACCTACTGTGAAGCATGGGGGTGGAAACATCATGCTATGGGGCTGTTTTTCTGCCAAGGGGACAGGACGACTGATCTGTGTTAAGGACAGAATGAATGGGGCCATGTATCGTGAGATTTTGAGCCAAAACCTCCTTCCATCAGTGAGAACTTTGAAGATGAAACGAGGCTGGGTCTTCCAACATGACAATGATCCAAAACACACCGCCCGGGCAACAAAGGAGTGGCTCCGTAAGAAGCATTTGAAAGTCCTGGAGTGGCCTAGCCAGTCTCCAGACCTCAACCCCATAGAAAATCTGTGGCGGGAGGTGTAAGTCCGTGTTGCTCGGCGACAGCCCCAAAACATCACTGCTCTCGAGAAGATCTGCATGGAGGAATGGGCCAAAATACCAGCTACTGTGTGTGCAAACCTGGTAAAGACCTATAGTAAACGTTTGACCTCTGTTATTGCCAACAAAGGTTATGTTACAAAGTATTGAGTTGTATTTTTGTTATTGACCAAATACTTATTTTCCACCCTGATTTACCAATAAATTCTTTACAAATCCTACCATGTGGATTCATGGATTTTTTTTTCACATTCTGTCTCTCACAGTTGAAGTGTACCTCTGGTGCAAATTACTGACCTCTGTCATCATTTTAAGTGGGGGAACTTGCACAATCGGTGGCTGACTAAATACTTTTTTGCCCCACTGTATGTGCAACAAGTTGTATTGAACAAAACACACAGTCCACCCTTTTCTGCCAAGATCATGTCCAGAGCAACTCGGTGTTGCATAACAGTTATTCTTATGGCATCAATTTCCTGATTTTGCTCATTGTTGATGGTGGTCGATGCATTTAAAAACAGCCCAAAACGATAATCTAGAGTTTCAATACGCAGGGCATGTTTTCCAACTCCAATTCATGGAAATATTGCATGGACAATCTTTTGTCCAGTAGTCCATGTTTTAAATTCTTTCGGTACGTCAGTGCCCCACACGGAATCATGTGGCTCCACTTGCTGGGCTTCTCGTTTCTTTCTCGTAGATTGGAAGCTCTTGATTGCCGTTATCTTGAATGTGTGGTCAGAGATGAATATAGGGGCACATGTGCCTGTCCACTGCTCTGGGAGTATGAAATAGGCACGCTGTCCACATAACCATGCCATTCCCTGTACCCAATAGGTACCGTTAGATGGACTGTTGTTCTTCACTGGGCCACCAAGTGTATGTGTATACGTTCCTACACAGTTCCTGGTGGTCCCTAAATCAATGGTTCCTATCGTCTGGCGATAACATCTCAGATGCTCCCATTTTATTGGATTGTCTAGGAACACCGGGAAATGCAGTGCTTCATGTCTTTGTTTAACCTTCAAGTTAACCCAAAACAATTGGTCACAGGTGCCATCTCGAAGTCCAATAGTCAAGGGGTCGCTGTGGTTTAAGAGAATTCCTGAATATTGATAACCTAGACTGGCAAAGCTTGCTGCACATGTCACTTGAGTCATGTTCATCGGTCTGCCATATAATGTAGCATGCTGTGTTGTAGCAGGCATGTGTGAGCATATATAACAATCTTTGCCTTCTGTGCGATTATATATGTATCTATACCAGGCGTTGTTCATCCAGGGATGGATGTGGTCCTGTGTCACTTCAGCCAGGTGCGAGTTGTCATATGTCTATGCCCTTCTATGTAGGTTGGCTTCTTGATCCTTTACGTGCATCAGGGTCCATGCTGTAAGCAGCAGGGCCAAGGTGGTAAACAGAATAATCTTCATGATGACCAGACACACCGATTTACTCTGGTGAGTAGACTACAGGCGAGAAGTAGAAGGCGGGACATACCCGATCAGCCCTCCCTTCACCTGTAGATCACCAAAGAGTCGG